ATTTATGCTGGCAGATGTTCAGGTATCAGGCAGGTGATGATTATCTCACCATCAGTATCAGATCATGATTATTCAGTACCAGTTTCAGTTCAGTTCAGTTCAGTTATATATGCCAGGAGCATGTGATTGTAATTATTTTCACTGTTTACTTCAGTATGAGTTTCCACGGAGCACAGTGGACTTTAGTGCTCACACCCCACTTTTATCATGTTTTTCATGTCATGAAGTCGGGCCGGAGGTGTGAGATGACGACTGGTTCAGGATTATGCTTATAAAGTTTAAATTATACGGGAGTTATGCTTATAAAGTTTAAATTACGTGTTGTACAGTTTAAATTTGGAATAGCAGTGCTGTTGCTATCTCCCGTAGACTTATTTATATGATCGCAGCACTGTTATTATGTTTTGCCACTACAGTTTCCGCTGACTTTTCACTATTTGTCAAACTTAGCCCTTTTGACTGTAAGTAGACTGTAAGTCCGTTTTTCTTAAAAACAGTCTGATTTGAAAGTAAGACATGTATTATGGTGGCACTCTGAAACAGTATTTTGCAAACCAATCAGTATTTTATCTAAAAGGTTTGTATAGACACACTCTGATTTTCATGACAAGGCGGGGTGTTACAGTTCGTATCAGAGCACGTTTCTGCGTCTCTGAAAATTTTTACGAGTCAGAAAATTTCGAAAACCTGAACACGTCACGCTCACGCCTCGCCGACTACAGGTAAGTACTGATTCATGTTTTCAAACTATAAACAAGTTACTAATTCTATGCTCAGAAATTTCTCAGTTGTAAATTAGTTAAGATGCTCGAATCATGTTCAAGATCAGCAGTTCAGGATATCAGTCAGTATTTTTCCCAGTCATGTTTAGCAACTCGTCAAGAGATTTGTGCGCTTTAATGATCAATAAAAGTATTTCATTGTATGTTAATCATGTTGAATCTTTTCAATATTCAGATGCCGCCCCGTAGAGAACCTGATCATCCGCCAGTTCCTCAGGCCACGATAGTCGCACAGTTCCGCGACTACCACCCTGAGAAATTTCTGGGTAGGGAGACCCGCGTATCGTAGATGAATGGGTTCAGGGCCTTGAATTGATTTTTGAGGTCATGGACTGTCCAGATCGTTATCGCGTTACTTGCGCACAACTTCAGTTGACCGGTGATGCTCGACTTTGGTGGAATGCCTACTGGAGTATGCATCCCGGAGAAAAGGAAGGTTGTACCTAGGAGAGATTCAAGGAGATGATCAGTGAGAAGTATTATCCCTCGTACTAACGAGAAGAAATGGAGCGTCAGTTCCTGTCGCTCAAACAGGGTACTCGTTCTGTTGATGAGTACGAGAGAGAGTTTACCAGACTCGGAGCCTTTGTTCCCGACCTGGTGCGTACAGAGGCACAGAGGGCACAACGTTTCACTGACGGGCTTTACTCAGCAGT